CACAAAATTGATGATCTTCACATAGTTATAATAGGGGTGCAATATATTGCACCATGCAATAAATTATAAATTCCTATTTTTATTTGTACTAGTACAAATAGTAGTAGCTTTGTAAATTTTTATATTTAGTAGTTAATGATTAATCCTGACTACAAGTAAAAGTCTTGGTAACTGCACTATAATCTATATTATTATTATTTAAAAATTATTACTAATAAAAATATGAGCAAGACTTTACCTTAAAATCAAAAAAAAAAGACAAATTTAATACTATATAATTAAATCATTAAAATTAGTCTAGTAAATCACAAGATATCTTTACAAAATATTTTACTAACTATATAAACTTCTATATAGAAGTTTATATAGTTAATAAAAATTTTTTAAAGATATTTTATAATCTACTATACCAATTTTAATAATTTAACTACTATTATATTTATCTTGACGAGCTCTACAACTTTAATTAGAGACTCAAAAATAATTAACTTACATAGTACAAAAAAGTTTTAGATATAAAAATATTACATTTTAAAAATTCTAATTTTTATATATAATCTGTATCATATTATATTATATTTACTTGCTAGTTAACTAGAAATTACTAATCTATACTATTAAAATTGTAAATATCTGTTCAGAATAAAATAAATTTGATTGGTCAGTTTTGTATATATAATTTGTGTAACTACTTTAATAGTATAACAGGAAAAAATGATCTATATTAATCAATGCAAATGATTATGCGAAAGTAGTTAAAAAATTACAATAAGTTTAGAATAAATATTCTAATAAACTATTTTCTAGACTAAAATTTTGCAAGATTTTTTTTATTTGTGTACTGAAGGTTATTTCATAAATCATATTTTGCATTTTTGGTAGCTTTTACGTTTAAAAATTGGAATAGCAATTTAACGATTGTGATGCCTACAGCAATAATATACTACCAATCTTATAATCAAAACTATTGAACTTTTAATATAACTTTTTGCTTTAGAGTTGAATTTATATTATTTAAAGCAATTCGTATATCAAAATTTTGCTTATGATGATATTTTTATAGATTATATTTTAAGGCAATGATAAATATTTAGTAGTGATCTATATACTGTATACATTTTTTAAATACTATATGTAATATGCCTATTTAGTATATATACGTTTTAGATATTCTTTGCATTATTATAAGCATTTCTATACTAAAATTTTGCATGACTCTTTTTTCTAGATTATATTTTGAGTTATTAATAAACAATTAAAATAACTACTTATCAAGCATTCTGTATACTGTAAGCAATCTAAACCATGTTTTTTACAAAATTTTGAAATTACGTGATATTCAATACAAATTTTTATAGTTTATTTATATTCGGACTATATTCTATTTAAAGTTTGACTTTAGTGTCAATTATAGTAAATTTGCTTAAAGAAACCTTTAATTAGTTTACAAAAAAAGAGTTCTTATGTAAATTTTTGATAAATGAACAGTTTCTTCAAAATGAACATTTAGTTTGAATTTTTCTGTTTTTGATGCATTACACAAATACAAGATTCACTATTGAATTACTTCTGTTGATTAATATGTAGTAGTAAAATTTATTGTTGGCGTATTAAAGATAGTAATTGCATACATTGTTAAATACAACAATACCATGCTGCCTTTGTATGACTAACTGTATATAAATATCTTTTAAAAAATCTTATCTTCTCTATCCTTTTTCTACTGCACTTAACAGCATTATTATAAATTAGTATTGCAAACCTTTGTTATTATGACACATAAGGTGTATTTTTAGACAAAACAAGACCAAAAAAATACTAATACTGCTAAAAAATAAGAGAGTAAAAAGCTTGAAACTGAAGCACAATATTAGCAGAGACTTAGTCAAGATAATTATGCATACTGACAGTGTTGTAAAGAAGAACGTAAAGTTCTACGTGAATTTTAACTGCAAAATTCAAACAATAAATAATATATCGAAAAACCTAATACTACACAAGATACTAGCTGTAAACATCATAATAATAACTCTTAATTACAAAATATTGCTTATAATTTTTCTAAAAATTCAAGCAGTTACCCTATTTTACATAAAATTAATATCGATAATACTACTAACTGTTTCTACTACAATGCTTTAAAGTTGCTTTTGGAAACTCCTGAAATATGCTGCTCCAAAAGAAAAGTTGTATTGGCTAAGCCTAAAATTTTACCATTATTGCAACAACTTTGTTCTAATCAAGATGATGTTGCTAGAAATTTTCATTATAAAATTTGACTTTACAATTCCGCATTATCTTTACTTCTATAGATATTAAAATCAATCGTAATCTTGCTACTGCTAGAAATGATATTTACATCTATTGTGTTCAAGGTTTATTTCACTATCAAATTGGCTCATTAATACCAAAATTGGCTCAGAACTACAGTATTTGCAAATGTATATTTGGGATATCCAGAATGAATTACAATATTACACAACCACTATTTCTAATTCTAATCTTAATTTGTTGATACTTCAAATACTAAAAACAATATTTGATCAATCTAATTCCTATGTTGAAACCTTTTATCATATTTCGATCTTAGCCGCAGAACAAATAAAAAATTTATTAATACACATTCATACTAATATCTCTGGTCTAGATCAAAGAACTCACAATATATCTACTGCATCTTAGATTGCAGCTATTTGGATCAATGATAATTTGTCTCACAAAATGATTCAGAAATGTAATATTATATTGCATATATTAATAAATCAGAAGATTCGCATTTCAGAATTTTGTAAATATTATAATCTGCTAGCATATCCACTATTATTTCCTTTTGGAGAACAAGGGTAGACTACTAATAAGATTCCATATAGAAATATTAATATTGAGTATGAACAAATCAATTCTGAAGATAATTCAATTAACTATGATGATTTAAAACTTGATGATGACAATTCTAATTCTAGATGATATAGAAAATTTGTGACCACAATGGAATATTATGCTTATTATTTTCAAATTTGGCCTTATCATATAAATATATTTTTACAAGCTAGAAGACTTTTTTAGCAATTTTTAGTTGATATGTATGTTAAAATTGAAACAAGCCACCTTAACTTTCTACGCCAAAATCAAAAAACAATTCGAAATGAACTATACCAAGACCTTTTTGACGTAGTCATACGAAGAGACACAAATCTAGAAAGCATTGGATGAAAAATAGTTCTTTCTTCAACTTTTATAAGTGGTTTTCGAAATATAATCTAATGATATCAAGATGCAATAATATTGCTATATATTAAAAACCTGATCTCTTTGTTACAATTACTTGCAATCTAACTTGGCCTGAAATTTAATCACTGTTGTTACCTGAGCAAACAGTACAGGATCAACTAAATATTATAGGTATGCTTGCTTTAGCTATTATTAAAAAAGACTAATTTCTTAATTGTATAATAAATTAGCAAAATATGCCAATATATATTATCAAAATTTAAAATTTATATTTAATATTTTTTTTTCAAATTCAATTACTAAATTTAAATATTTTCAATTTTTATAGTATGCATATTTAGAGAAAAACTTCAAAAATTAAAAAAAGATCTTTTCGAATATAAAATCTTTGAGTGCATTATTAGACATGTCTATATTATTGAGTTCCAAAGCATAGCTTTCCTTATACATATATTTTACTCATACTTTATTCAGAAGACAAACTACGAACTCCCAAAGATTATGACTCGTTGGTCTGTACTGAAATACCAAACCGGGACCTTAATTCTAAGACTTATATAACTATTATTTCTAATATAGTACACAGGCCATGTGGTGAATACAATTATAGCACACTATATATGGTTGATGATGGAAATAGAATTAAAAAATGTAGTAAGAGATTTCCTAAACAATTTCAAATTGAAACACATTACAAAATGAATTCTTATCCAATATATTGTTATTAGTAAGATTTTTGCTATGTCAATATCAAAATAGAAAATAAAT